AGGTACTGCCCCAGTGACAACTTCTGTACCTTTATGTCTGAGAGGGGTGTCTAGCCAACTTTAGCCTTCATACTGCATGATGCTGTAGGGAAAGATCAAAAGATACTATTTTCATCTAATTCTCTTATTGCTTGGAAAATGTATAAAGCGCACAAATTCAGGAAACATTAGGACATGTTTTGACATTAAGATAACCCAATGAGTGTTGTTGAACTTTTTCCTTACTTATTTTTCACTCACTGAAGCACGAGACTGATTTCATGCCTCTAAAGCAGTGTTACTCATTGCGCGGCTCGCCAAGCTTTAATGTGTGGCTCGCATGGCAGATGGCAGTAAATAATGCGATGATATGATCAATACATATTTAATATTTATGAAAACATTAAGAACAAGCAGGGCTAAAACTAAGCCATTAAAAAAAACTCACACCGTGTCTACACTGGACGCGAGCGTCGTGGTGCGACGCGACAAAAGACAATAGAACCCATTTTAATTATGGCCCTATGATTTCTGCGATGCGGAAAATGCGGATGGAATTGCAGAATCCAGTCATAAAAACATAATTTACTGTATAACGTGGAATGTCACGGAATTTGTCAAAGTTTGGGTGAATAAATCAAAAGTAGGTCATTACACTTAAAGGGGTCATATGATGCGATTTCAAGTTTTCCTTTCTCTTTAGATTGTGACAAGCTGATTGTGCATAGATAAGATCCCTGAACGAGTGCTTGCGGTGTTCGGCCAATCACAATGCACTGGGCCAGCTGGCCAATCAGAGCAGACTGCGCTTGTCGGAAGGAGGGACTTTGTAGAAAACGAAGCGTTTGAGAGAGGCGGGGCATAGAGGACCTACAATAATGTACAGTATTTGAAAAATAATGTGTTTTTTTGAACATTAAAGCATGTCAACATATTCTGTTACACCAAATACACAAAATAATGATCTTTAAAAAAGCATCATATGACCCCTTTAAATCAAATCGCAATATTGACTGGTGTCTGTAAATATTAAGCTGCAAAAATACCATTTAAATATGAATCCTGCATGTCTCTTTATGAGTGAATGGCACAGATGCGCGGTTTCGTTTACTACACACATACTGAAGTGTGCAGTGTTTTCAGCGTCTGCTGTCTCACTAAATGAGAACATAAATACATGAACAACAGTCAGTGTCTGCTCCATTATAAATAATTTATATTTTAAAAATACCCGAAACAGCGGAATTACAAGATAGAAATATAGACTAGAAAGATATTTAAACTTGCTCTGCCCTTACGTCCATGACATTGACTCACTGCGGAGTTGTTTTGGCAATCTTTCCAGCTCTTAACGCCGAATGTGCTCTTATGGTTTGATACATGATGGGCTAATGTAGAAGCAAATAACTTTAAATAAATAACTTTAAATAACTTTTAAAAATAACCCCCTTTGTAATGCATATTGTATGTTCAGGGATGACAGATTGAGAAGCACACATGCTATTTATGACTGGATGTAACTTCATACTTTGCAGTAAAAGTGGCTCTCCTATTAACTTTGTCCTAAAAGTGCGGCTCTCGTGAAAAAAATTGTGAAGATCACTGCTCTAAAGCCTGAATCTAGCACAAATCAATAGCATTTGGGACCATGTTGTGAAGAAGCATTTTATTGGTTGAACCTATTAAAGGGGTCCTATTATGCTTTTTAACTTTTTCAACTTTAATTAGTCTGTAATGTTGCTGTTTGAGCATAAAAAAAGATCTTCAAAGTTACAAAGCTCAAAGTCAACTTCAAAAGGAGATATTTTATTTAACAGAAATCACTTTTCAAAAACTACAACGAACGACTCGTTTGGACTACAACGCATATTTTCTGGGATTTGTGACATCACAAAGATCGACGAATGGGACGAGACCTGGTTGAGCTGCACTAGAGAAGGCAATGAGTGTTATCACTATGTCGGAGACACGCTAGCTTTCCCAAGGCAGACGAACTTAGAGTGGTTACAATCATCCGGGTTTAAATCGTGCTCAAATGAATTTGATTTTGACGCAATATTTACACTTAAGCACACAGGCGGCTATGGTAAGGTGCATGATATTTCCCGACCAGACGCCGAGTGCTGCCAATCACAACACACACAGGCCCAGCTAACCAATCACAGCACATTTCCTATTTCAGAAGGTGGGCCTTCATTTGATTCAGGAACTATTCGAGCCGTTCATGCCAGACTGGGGAGAGAGGTGTTGTAATAATGTAAAATATGTGGAAAATAATGTGTTTTTCTAAACAGCCTAGTATGAGAGCCTGTTCTAGTACACCCCCAAAACAAAATCAAGACTTTGTAAAAGAGCATAATAGGACCCCTTTAAACAAACACATTCCCTTCACTGAATGAGCCAGTTTTTTATTCTATATAAAGATGATAGCTTGTTTGCTATATATATATATATATGGTGTTAGAGGGTCATTTTTTAAATAAGAAGAAAACATATATGTCTTTTTGTAGTAATAATAATAAATAAATAAATAAATACTTAAAGCAAATATATAAAAATTTAATAAAATAAAATATATTTATTTTGTAAATAAATCAATAAACATTTATTAACAATAAATCTATTACATATATTTAGTAAATAAGTACACAAGTAAATAAGTAACAATTCATTCTTGTTCACTTCTTTGTACTGTGTCTCATATTTTTCATTCACTGAAGTGTGATCGCTTTCCTGCCTTCAAAGACTTATTGTAGTGCAAACCAGTAGAATTGGGGTACGGGTTGTAAAGGAGCATTTCATTGGTTGGACCTATTGCACAAGCACATCCCCTTCACTGAATGAGTCATTGTTTTTAATCAGAACAAGACTTGAGAATGAACTGGGACATCTTGTTTGTGAATGAACTAAACAATTAATACATTGAAAATGAGTATCTGCATGTAGTTTCTTCAGTTCAGCATGTGAGTCAGTCTTCTTCACAACAAGGATATCATTTACTTTTACTTTTACTTTGTCATTTAGCAGACGCTTTTATCCAAAGCGACTCACAAATAAGAAAAAGTAATTAAAACTAAAAGCTAAAACTCTATAAATACTATATATATATATACACACAAATTTAAATTAAATAAAAATGACAAATGCATACAACAACATTTCAAAACTAAAACATTTAAATAAAAACAAAAAAATAAAGCTAAAAACAATTCAAACATACACAAATAAGAAAAATTAATTAAAACTTATATACTTAATTAAATATACTTAATTAAATAATTATTATACTTAAACAATTATTACACAATTATTTAATAAACCTTAGTATATTTGTTAAAGGTGACATGTCATGAACATCTGACTTTTTCCGTGTTTAAGTGCTATAACCGTGTGCATCTACCAACCTAGAAAATGTGGCAACATGTTTCTGCTTCCACTCAAAATAGGCATTTTCAAAATTATTTAATAAATGATCTGTGGGGTATTTTGAGCTGAAACTTCACAGACACATTCTAGGGACACCTGAGACTTATATTACATCTTGTAAAACGGGGGCATTCAATTCAAGTTTATTTGTATAGCGCCTTTCACAATACAAATTGTTGCAAAGCAACTTTACAGAAAATTGAGTTTCTACAATATTTAGTGGTAGCTTATCAGTGGTGACTGTCAGTTTATGTACATATGGCAGAAATGTACAGAAAAATCCATTAAAGACATAATCAAACAGATGATGAACACAATTAGCAGAAATTATTATATGATGCAATCAAACTTACAGCAAAATTGGGATGTCAATCCCGTGGCAGAAACAGAGAAACAAATTTGAGACATAATTAGCATAGCTGCTGTTCCAACCAAGCAAAATTGATTTGTTTAACCCAAGCTAAAGAATAATAATGCACATTTGATCAGATATAACTGCAGTAAAAGATTATGAGATGCATTATTTGAATGCCTGGCCAAAGAGATGTGTCTTTAATCTAGATTTAAACAGAGAGAGTGTGTCTGAACCCCGAACGTTATCAGGAAAGCTATTCCAGAGTTTGGGAGCCAAATATGAAAAAGCTCTACCTCCTTTAGTGGACTTTGCTATCCTAGGTACTACCAAAAGTCCAGAGTTTTGCGACCTTAGGGAACTGTATGGATTGTAGCGTGGTAGAAGACTAGTTAGGTACGCAGGAGCTAAACCATTAAGGGCCTTATAGGCAAGTAATAATATTTTGTAACTGATACGGAACTGAATAGGTAGCCAGTGCAGAGACTGTAAAATTTGGGTAATATGATAATATTTTCTTGACCTGGTAAGGACTCTAGCCGCTGCATTTTGGACTACCTGTAGCTTGTTTATTGAAGATGCAGGACAACCAGCTAGCAGTGCATTACAATAGTCCAGTCTAGAGGTCATGAATGCATGAACTAGCTTTTCTGCATCAGAAACAGGTAACATATTTATATGTAAGGGCATAGGCATAATAGGTGCCCTTTACATATGCATAAAATTAATAAGTCTTCTTGGGTTTTAAGTCTTGTGTTTTATCAAATTAGTTGAGTGCATGATTCAGTAACTCACTCATAACACAAAATATTCTCTTGCCACAACACAATGTAACCTATAGAAATGGTCACTGAATGACTCAGTGAATGAATCAGAATGAATAACTTTGATGAACATTTTTGAAAGATTTAAGTAACTGAGATGTATCAAAATCCCCTTCAATAACGCAGTACACATTATACTAGAAATAGCAATCAGCTCAGATTGTAAGGGTGAATCATTGTCTTTCAGGTTCAGCCGAGCACATTGTAGTGCATTGACAGATAAATGTTCCATGGTGAACATGTGTTTTTAATTGTAAAGACCAGAGAATCCACTGATGCCACTTATAAAGAATGTGGGTGATTTTACTTGAATCTATATTCATGTTGAGTCTATATTTAATGTCTATATTTAAGGTGAACAGACAATTTGCACTTGTACTGCAATAGGATACTAAAGCAACTTTTATCTGGTGTTACAGAGTGACCGTCTCTTGATTAAAGGGGCGAAGATTGTGAATGATGATCAGTCGTTCTGTGCCGACATCTATATGGAAGATGGCCTGATCAAGTGAGTGTAAAATATATTAGCTGAACTGTTCCTTTAGTATTCTAAGATTATAAGGTTAATATGTGCATAATATGCCCTTATATCATATGACACATGAAGAGATAATGAAATAGCGCTTGAAATTTGGCCCTTGAAATTAAATTAAGATTGCTCAGATTGTATAACTCATATTTCTTTTTTATATCTCACTCACAGGCAAATTGGAGAGAATCTGATAGTGCCTGGCGGGGTAAAAACCATCGATGCTCATGGGCGTATGGTGATGCCGGGTGGCATTGATGTGCACACACGCTTCCAGATGCCTGACAGGGGCATGACTGCTGCTGATGACTTCTATCAAGGCACCCGCGCTGCGCTAGCTGGAGGAACCACCATGATCAGTATGCATCCAACTGTGCTTAGTGTGATGAAGAAACTGAGCCAGGACTAGTTGCTGTTTGCATATCAACCACCCAGAGCATCATAGCAGCAACTTAGCAATGCCATAGCAACCACCCAGAAAATGTCATTGCAACTACCTACAACACATAGCAACCATCCAATAATGCCCGTGCTACACCCATGGCAGCCATCAACAATACCATAGCAACACCCTAGCAGCTACCCACAATGCTGTAGCAACACCCTAGCAATGCTGTAGCAATTAGCCACAACACCATAGCAACCACTTAGCAAAGCCCTGGCAACCACCCACAACACCATAGCAACCACTAGCAATGCACTGGCAACTGAGCATAACTCCTGGGCAAACACATATAGTGTTTCGTTAAACCTTACTCAAAACAGCTTAGAAACATCTAACATCTGTGGACTAGAAATTCATAGACTTCAAAGAATCATATGCCAGGAAATAATGCCCTAGAGACTACCCACAATGCCATTTCAATCCCAACAATGCCATAGCAACCACCTACCAAATGCTATTGCAGTGACCTACAACACATAGCAACCACCTAATAATCTCCTAGTTACACCCTGGCAACCACCACATTGTCACATAGCAGCTACACCATGGCAACTGCCCACAATGCCATAGCAACCACCTACCAAATGCTATTGCAGTGACCTACAACACATAGCAACCACCTAATAATCTCCTAGTTACACCCTGGCAACCACCACATTGTCACATAGCAGCTACATCATGGCAACTGCCCACAATGCCATAGCAGCCACCTGGCAAATACCAACAATGCCCTAGCAACACCCTGGCAACTACCCTCAACACCCGAACAAAGGCATAGCAATGCTTAAACTACCAAAAACACTCAGCAGCCGCTCATATTTAGGAACCAGAATATTATAGAGATTTGGGCTAGTAAGAAATGCCCTAGCAGCCACCCAAAATGCCATAGCAACCACCTAGCAACACCCCAGTTACAACAACAATTCCATAGCAACCATCTAGCAATGCCATATCAAGCACCATATAATTTATCCTATTTGCTTGTGGTCTTAATACAGATAACACAGTTAAAGGGATAGTTCATCCAAAAATTAAAATTCTGTCATCATTTACGCACTTGTTGTTCCAAACTTATGAGTTTCTTTCTACTGTTGAACACAAAAGAACGTATTTTGAAGAATGCTGGTAACGAAACATTTGCTAGTAGCCATTGATTTTAATAGTAATTTATTCCATAATTACGACCCTAAGGTTTCCGTGATGCGAAAAACATGGACCTTTACGGAATCGGAAATTTACTGTATAATGCGGAATGTCACGGAATTTGCCAAATTGTGGATGAATACATCAAAGTAGGCCAGTTCACTTAAATCAAAACGCGATATGGACTAGTGTCTGTGAATATTAGGCTGCAAAAATACCATTTAAATATGAATCCTGCATGTTTCGTTTACTATATAAATTCTGAAGTGTGCGTGATATTCGCTGTGTTTTCATCCTCTGCTGCCTCAATATATGAATACATGAACACATAAACAACTGCTCTGAGAGTCACTTCATGAGCATTTTACCATTTCTTTTGAGAAAAACAATTTTCATGTCATATACAAACAGAAACCTAAAGGTCTTCACAGCAACCTGTCAAAATAAAAGTTTGGTTTAACTTGAAGAAACCGTGCTTTTGGTTTAACATTAAGAAACTTAATGTAATGTATTACTACTGCTAATAAAATTATTATTAAAAACATTATTTTTGAAAGAATATTTTCCAGAAAAATTATTTACCAGAATTTATTTAGCAGAAAAATGTAAATACAAAACACAGTATTTCTGAAAAAGGGGGGGGGGGGGGGAAGATATTTTATTTTTTTAAAATAATTTTTGA